CTATCAAAACAGCTACTAAACCTTTTTTTATGTTTGTTTTTTGTTGTTTCCTGCAACTACAGCTCACAAACGTGTTGTCCATAAAGGGAATATGTTCTTTATTTTAGCCTCTTTGATGTTTCTTTCTTTGTGGTTCTGAATCTGTCAGAAAGGGGTCAATTCTCTGTCTAAGGGTGGAAGAGAGTCAGGTAATCAGCATTGCCGTTGCAGTTCCTTGTAATAATCATACTCACCCTCTTGACTTGTAAGTGTGCATCTCTTTCACCTCGATTGTGAATGAAAAGCTGGGGGCCCCGACAGTCAACATGAGCTATTTTAGTTTCCTGTTGCCGAAACTGTGGTTTTTCTTGTTGGATTGTTCCCAGTCCCTTGGGAAATCAGAACCGATAGGTAACCCCCGTTCCCTGCGAATTCCCCACGTCAGAGAGATGAATCTTTTAGAGCATCCGAATACTGCTATATTTACGAAGGACTGGTGGACAATGGAGCAGTTTCGCAACAGGAAACTGTGTTAAGATTTTGCATTAATGGAAACGGCTGGGAAGCCAAGGGGTGAATCTTAATATGCGTACTTGACTGTACTGGTGTTCTCGCGTACCCGTTTTACATCTTTTTCCATTACCAAAGACCAGTTCCAATACTAAGAACAGAAGTACAGAGGACAGTAAAAATCCCAGGATGTTGGTCTTTCTTCGTCCCAAGATATCAAGGATACATCGGTTGCATCCTCACCGAAGGAGACCAATCCCACGATTGATTCTTGGAAGGCAAGTCAGCAAGACCAGTCTTGCCAAGACCACAAGTACGGTCTTTGTGTTTTTGGCATTGAGATTCAGCCCCCGGTTCAGCGTTTGCACTGCCGGCATTTTGTAAAGGGATCTCCACTTTCCGGATCTGAAATGCAGTGCAGACTGGAGCTGGAAGTTTGCACTGCAGGCATTTTGTAAAGGGATCTCCACTTTCCGGATCTGAAATGCAGTGCAGACTGGAGCTGGAAGTTTGCACTGCAGGCATTTTGTAAAGGGATCTCCACTTTCCGGATCTGA